AATGCATTTTTGAATAACATCGGTAACTCACATTTTACTTTCATCGGACTCTCGAGTAGGACGCACAAGATGGCATCTACCTCAAGTGTCAACTGTCCATCAAGACAGACTTTGATAAGTGTCTCTCAAGTGCCAAATGGAACCCTAACTATAAATACGGCCATTAAACTTGCACCGTTTTGTTTTCGGTGGACCACCCTGTATATCCGAGAACAAATTATTTTCCAAGGTCATGTCAAATTTCCTTGAATATTTTTACGTTTCGTTAATGCGAAAATTACATCCGCAAAGTTGTTTAAACAAAATTTAGTTGAAATATTTGTTTGCGATGCCTATTATCGTAGAACGGCGACCCATGGAGATTGAGAGCTAATTTGTAAAGGTTGAATTGTAAAGTGTGTTGAATAATCAATTATAGTAATTGTTTTTTCAATAATTTTATTTCATTCTGTTCTAAAGTATGTGTACCGTGATTTTAGCACTAAAGCTTTTCTATCTGATCGATTATTAATTTGGTAAGTAATTTATTGGACCTGGGACTGGTGTTGTTGTAAATATTGTTGTCTTCAGCACAGTTAGAAATTTATCTTCGTGTTTTAGGAAATAAGAAAATGCTGAACACTTGGGACTTTATAAGCAAATTACTTCCAATATCTCAGTACTTGAAAGATTATAATTTAAACAACGCGCTCTGTGATTTGTTAGCTGGAATTACAGTTGGACTGACGCTAATTCCGCAAGTAATTGCCTACGCTTCATTAGCCGGTTTGGAGCCGCAGGTAATAATTTCAACCTATTGAGTTTTGTTAAATCCATTCAAACTTGTTTAGTTCCCAAAAATGCTACAAGCATATTATGAACTCCATTACTGAAATTTACTGTGCTATTGAAATTTGTATTTTTTATTATGGGTCAGATCATTTTTTTATGATTAAAATTATAAAGGTACATAATTTCTTTAAGTTAGAATTTTTGGGTGATACTCATCATAATTATCATATCGTTATACAAAGTGAGTTTTTTTCGATGACTGACTTTGAACGACGAAGGTTAAATGACAAAGAATTGCCGTTTTGAATGCTCTGCTCGAACCTAATTTTCTTTTATCAAAGTTTAACAGGTGTCAAGAGATATTTGAACAACTAATGCATGACAGGTGTTAAATAACTCCTAGTTCAGTTAGTATTAATCTACAGGAAAACATTACATAGACAGGTTTTCAGAAATTCCAAATAAAACGACATAAGAAGTTTTTGCAAATTAACTCTCTTTTTGACATCCTACATAAACTTGTGTTTTTTTTTAATGGAATCTATATTTCATCATGTCATTACTGATTGCAGTATTTTATTACAATATTAATGATATATATTATCATATAGTTAGCTTTTTTCTAAAATGAAGCGAAATGACGCAAATGATTTTTACTTTTTTGCCGTAGTTCATCGAAGTTAATGATGGAAAATAGCATGTCATACAGCATTGTTTTCATAGTTACAAATAATTACAATATGCTTCAATATTTATTTTGAAAACTACCCTAAAATTGGTAATAAATTTAATTTAAATAAGACGGCAACTCATATAAAGTGTTTATTATAAAAATCAAAACATACTAATAATAATTAAAATTCAACCCTGGAAACTATAATTTTTATTACGAAATATCTTCAGAAAGTTTTCTATTATTATCAATACAAACATTGCATCGCTTTAAAACTGAATCAGTTGCTTTTCTAACTGACCAACTATCAATGTTTTCAAATGTTCTAACAACAGTTCCTTTAAGTTCATTTAAATTGCCATCTTTACTATTATAAACAGTGTTTTTTCCTAAAAAAAAAGTCCAAAACAGGAAGATCGGGAGATCGAGGTGGCTGTAAAATAGGACCCTTTGTTCCAATCCAAGCGCTTGGAAATACTTTGTCCACATTATTCCGCACTTGGCCAAAATTATGCGGATGGGCTCCGTTATGTTGGATCATTCCGAAACCGACATCCATTTAAGGAGCCTTCAGAAATAAATGTACCAATAATTTTTGAACCCACCATTCCGCACCAAACGTTAAATCCTAATTTAACTTGTCGTGTCCGTGGTGAGGATTTGTTTGGTTCCAAATATGTCCATTGTGTCGACTAAACATACTACAATTTTTAAATCGAGTTTTATCGGTCCGTAATGGTTTATGGAGGAATTGGATGCCTTGTTGGCATTTGTTTCGGAACCATGTACAAACATTCACACGCAGCTCATCATCCCCTAGATGTACAGTTTTCATACTGTTACTTTATCCGGACGGAATTTGTGTTTTGTTAAAATCTCATCACGGTGCTTTGGAAACTCCTGGATTCCACTGCAATCGCTCTGGTTGAAATCTGTGGATTCTGGGTTACAACGGTCTAGACATTAACGTTTACAGCTCTACTTGTTAATTTATCTGCATTTATTCGCTGTTTGAAACTTCCATAAGTACCCAAATTGTCGTATAGTATTTTAAATGTTTTGCAAGACGGCTGACGACGGTCTTCGAACCTCGATCAACTAAATTGAGAAAGTAAAAATCATTCGCAATCACTTACTTGTCGAAAAAACATATCGATGTGATATATAACTGAAATCGTAATAAAATGCCCTTTTAAATAAAGGCATAATCAAATATAGTTACCATTTAGAAAAATCAAGTTTTTGCCATATATAAAATGTGACATTTGGCTTAATTTTTGAAAATGTCTCCCATGCCATTTTATTTGTCATGCAATTGTCTGCGTTCTAAGTTTTCTATTTAATGTTTTCCTGTCAGATTGATATTGACGAAACTATGAGTCATTTAAACACATCTGCCATAAATGAGTTTTGTTCACATATCTCCTGCCAGCTGCCAAATTTCAGAAAAACAAATGGTTTTGTGTTGAGCATTCAAAACTACAATTATTCGTCTATTTAACCTTCGTTGTATCTGCTGTGGTTTCCAAGTACTAGTTCCCTGTACTAGTGATGAAAAAAACTCACCTTGTATTTGATGTAAGTATATCTGTTTCTATCCACAAGTGGGTTTTTGTGGATTCGGATATTTTAATTTGTGGACTTCAAAAGTATTACTGACGGCATCAGGAATTGTTCATCTAGGAAATATACGTGACGCACATGAATGTCATAAAATTCATTGGGCCCCTTCTATTGAACTATTTAAATTATATGAAGTATGAATCACTAAGCGAAGCTCAGCAAAAATCTGTCGTTAAGAGGGGAACCGTGTTTACAGTGACGACGGAGTTTTACGTAAATCCCTCAGGAGTTCGAAAAGTGAATTTTACCCCTTGAATAGAACTTCTTTTTTATGTTAAGACATTACATGAGTAATAGCTGTAATTTCCTATTTTAACTTCTGTGTCAGTGCAAACTTTTTAGTTTTGTTACTTTTTCAAAACGAATTAGGAAAAGTAAATAGCACATATTTTCCAAACAATAACAAATATGAATTATCTAATCAAAGAGCGACTAAATGGGGCAGAAATAGATGAAGAACTAAGCGGATTTACGGCTGGACGGTCATGTGTCGACAACATATTTGCCATTAGGCAGACTATAGAAAAAAGAGGAGTACTGAGCCAAGAAACGCATCTAACGACCTAGAAAAAACATATGACAGGGTTCCCCTCAAAAAAAACTTTACAAGGTTCTAGACAACGATAACATACATGGGGGGTATATTCCGCCATAAAATAATTGTGCAAGGGATTATAGACGAGAGTCAGGGTTTGTAGGAGGCTATCCAAAGTTTTAAAACAGACAAAAGGCCTTAGGAAGGGTTGTTGCAGGTTGGGCCACTCGTATAATGTGTTTCTGCTATGTTACTGTGGCCTTTTCCCATAACCAATCGCATATTGGCAAATTCGCTGTTGGCTTACATTTTGTGAAAGGAGCTTCAAAATAAGCCACAGTTTGACAAATGCTTGTTATTATTGACAAAGGCTATCTACCTGTAACAATCTGTTAATGGCAAAAAACATCATTGACGCTTTGACTTTTCATCAAAAAATTGTAGAAAAGAAAATTTTTCGTAATTTGACAAAAAGATAGTAATTTTTCTTTTCGAGTGCTGAACTATTTCAATAGGCTATTAATCAAACATGGGACATTTTCAAAAGATTGCCTAATAACAAAGTAGAAATTCCATCTTCAACTGTTAATATCTTCTTGGAATTTTCGGAAAAAATGTTTTTCATATTTTTCTCGTACTCTCTAAGTGGGCCCTTATATACCCTTAAAAAGCATGGAGGTCGCGGGTTCAAATCCCGGCGAAAGCAGTACATTTTTCTGAATCCAAAAATTATTTTTCCGCTACGCCAAGTGAAATCCCTTTGAAAGTTATGAATTATCGGACAACAAACAACTCTTCACTTAAAAGGAATGACAACAATTTTAAATCACTCTGTATACTCGTATATACAGAAACATACGGGAATCTTGCGAAAAGGACCTAATCACTCAATTTAATTGCAACGTAGTGAAAGTTCATTGGAATATATTTAGTTCAACCAAGGATTACACCCTCTGATTGCCAACTAACCTACGGGTACCTTAAAAAATAACATTTTTTGAACATCACAAAATTGATATAAATTGGGACAAAATTGGAAATTTAGTCATGTAGTAACTTCTCCCATGAATGCTGGTTCCAATGGTATGGCCGATAGCAATGTTCAAACTTGAAAAATTATTTTAAAGACACCTTTAGAGAATAATAGAGATGCATTTTTGTCATTACTGTTATATAGAAATATGAAGATTGATAATAATTGTAGGCCAGCAGAATTCTTAATGTCTAGAAAGTTGAGATCAATAATACCATAAATACCCGATGTTAATCCATAAAATTTTAATAGTTACAATAAGTTTCTTGCTAAAAGAAGACAAGTTAATAAAAAGTATTTTGATCAACACACGAAAAAATTAGGACAAGTCAAAAAAAGTCAAGACAAGTGTGTATGTGCAACAAAAGCCTAAAGGAATTTGGGTACCGGGAATGCTTATATTCTTATAGATTAAGAGAGAAGTCGTATGAAATGAAAATGAATAATGGCAATACTATAATTAGAAACGAAAGATTTATTAATCCCAACGAAAGTAAAATAAGCAGACAAGCTAATTATTCATTGCTATTTCAAAAGGAAAGGGATGAGGAAATAAACGTTAAATATTATTTGAAATTAGATAAGGAAAGTGATGTTGATGAACGTTTTATATGAAAATGTAAGTGACATAGGCTCTGAGGAAGCTTTTATAATGGCTGAAAAAGTTAAGTCTTCGGGTTGAATTGTCAAGCCACCTCAGAGGTTGGATTTTTAGAAAGAAGGATGTGAAGGTAGACAATTACCAATACAGTTGCATTGGGCGTTGTTGAAACAAGATGGCAGTATAAAGATATATCTAGAATAATCTGGCGCTCTAATTAATTAATAAATTCATGTTTACCTAATTGAGAACATAAATAATACAGTGGTCATTTTGCGTGTTGTCGAATCTACCACATTCTTTTTCAAAAGCTTTTATTCACATTTTTGCAGTTGCGTTTTCCCACTGAATTTTTCTAGCATAAACTTTTCTGCTACTTTTTCTATATTTGGCTGACCTTTATACTGTTTTCAATTCTCGGCAAGTTGTTCTAGGGTTTTCGTGAGAGCGTCCTTTTGAAGGTTTCCAGAACTATTTGGTGTTATTTCTTCTGGGAATTGGTTTCCGCATAGTAAATTGTCTTGTTCATCCACATATTGGATTTTTGCTTTTTGGTGTCTTCATTTCATGGAGTGTTTTTTATTTTGGTAAAGGATTCCGTAGCTGTAATCAATGGGTGGTTACTTTCTGCTTGTAGTTCATCGAGAACAGCAAATACGTTTTCATCCTGAGTTGCTAAAGAGCTTATAACCTGGTAATTGGAGACAATTACATGCGGAAGCGAGATTCAATGCTTGAAATAGCTGCGCCCCAAGAGATGACATCCTGGACATATTCCTGTACAAAACGCAGGAAGACTGTCCAGGCCCGAAGTACTTCGGGAAATGTCGTCAGATCATTAGCCGATTCTCATGAAAATTGGACCAAATAACGTCAACAGTTCCACTGCGGCTAAAAGGATCACCAACCAGTAAAAAAATGTTGAAAATAAAAAAAAACACTAACTTTTATGTTCAAATTTTTTGTGAATTCCAAATGCTATTATGTAGAAGGTATTGTTTTAAATGACTTGGTTTGCAAGATGCTCAATTCTCCATTCAGGTTAATGTGATAATGTTGGCGCAATTGCAATCCAAGAAAAAAATTTCTAATCAAAATAAATATAATTTGAGACCTTTTAAATTGGCAAACCTAAATGAAGCGATCTTATCTTAATAAACAACTTTGCAGTTTTAAGTCATTTTGCATTCTCTAAGTACTTAATAGCCTTAATTAATTTAAATAAAACAGCTCAAACTTTGCATCATAGATAAACTTTTGATACCGTCTATATATGGAATGACAATTCTAGATCATCCTTCAAAATATGCTAAACATATTGCACTTACGGCATATTTTAAATTAATTTAATTCAAACTTGAGTCTTCTGTATTTTCTAATTCTCAACCGAAATCGCTTTTTAGTACTGAATCGCGATATTACTTCGCTGATTATTTGTACTTATACAAATGTTAATGTTATTATGTTAAGGCTAGTCCCATTGGATTAGGTCCGGTGACCACCGAGGCCATGAGATTAATGAATTTCCTCCTACTCACTTGTCAGAAAACGAACGGTTTAAGTGATATTGACTTGGACTGCTAAAATAAGAGCCACATTTCTTGTCGCAAATTCCAAAGGTGCATCATAAGAGTGTTCGATTAATTTATTCCAATAGAATCTGAGCAAACCTAAAAAAATATATTCCGTAATAGTTGTGGATGTATATTGTTTCATGTTTCGGAAAATGTCGTCATAAAATGATAATAAAATCATAAAGTGCGTACTAAACTAAAAATTGCGTTACAACTCGAATTACGTACCATCCTTTACCTACGACCGAAATAACTTACTAAAACTGAAATAGAAAATTGTGTATTTTTACATATATCAGTTTAGACAACGATTAAAAAGTCGACAGCAGCCCGAGTCCCCAATAAAAAGTCATACGTTCATACACAAATATTCAATAAGGTACATTTTCACGTAAAGTTTTAATGTTGTTTGCGGACAAAATATCGGACTTCTTGCTTTTAAACCATCAGACAACCACTACTGAAAGTAGTATAAAATACACTTCCTACCATCTAAGTAAGTTACATTTTACGCATTGTAAACTAAACGCACGGTAAACTAAACGCTCAGTTCTGTCATCATTCGTCAATATAAACCTTGTATCTTGTATTAAAAAATACTTACCCTACTGAAAAGTCAGTCTGATGGTTTAAAACCAAGAAGTCCGATATTTTGTCCACAAGCAACATTAAAACTCGTCGAGAGAATGTAATCTATTGAATATTGTCTATGAGCGTATGACGTTTTAATTTGTCATTCTGGACTGCTGTCAACGTTTTAATTGTTGTCAAAACTGAAATATTTACAAATATTCAATTTTTTCTTTTAGTTTTAGTAAATTATTAATTATGGTCGTATGTAAAGTATGGTACATAATTCGAGTTGTAACGCATTCATGTACTCATGGAATTACGCAATAGCCGCTTCGCGGCGTCTTGCTCAACTTTTCTATTCGTACGTAAAGTGCTCCTTACAACTCTAATTATGTAATATATTATTACCTACGACCACTACTGAAAGTAGTATAAAACACACTACCTACCATACGAATAAGTTCCATTTTACGCATTGTACGTATGAGATGTAATGAAAAATAAACGACTTATTATGGCTGAACCAATCTTAGCAAATTTCCATCCAGCATTGCACACACACATCTACACAGATGCTAGCGTAAAAAGCATAGGAGCAGTTTTCTAACAACCGCAGAAAGAAAGTTCAGATTTAGAGCCAGTATCACTTTTTCAAGAGAACTAAACGACTTTCGACAGAAGAAGAGAACTATTATCTATTTAGAATGGCCAGATATAAAAGAAGCAGTAACATTTTAGCAATTATGACTCAGGAGTAAAAAATTCACAGTCGTCTCTGATTATAAGGCTTTAGAGAAAATGGACAGAAAATCGAGAGCGGATGAAGAATTAGGCAAAATAATCTTCTTCCTCTCACACTATGATATAGAGATCAAATACCGCCCAGTGAAGTACATAAGAAGATCAATTACAAATAGTAAATACGATCAGGGTTCAAGAGATCATAAGGGACCAGCATAATAACCAATAAATTTAGAAAGATGCAAGCAAACTGGTAAAATTCAAAGACGTTTATTATACAAAGTCCAGAAACAAGACAAAATCTTACTAACAGAAACATACAGTAAATCACTCATCAGAAGAATACATGAAGAATACTGCCATATAGGTATAAAACAAGTCAGCAATAAAATAAGCCCCTTTATACAGCAAAGACCTTACAAAGCAACATAAAATAAATCTGGAAGAATTGTGGACCAGGATAGGGATCTTAGGATCAGCCACAAAACTGGTTGAGATAATTTTCAATAGACACCATTGGAGGATACAGCGGCTGAAGGTCAACAAAAAAATTCCTACATCTCATGGTAGATTACTTCTCAAGATATGCATACATATTGACATTAAAAACACAAAGCACCAAGGATTTTATATAACTATAATTATACCCATGGCCACTTATGCAGACTATTCTTATTAAAAAAGACATAGTATAGTTTCTGTTAGGATCAACATACTTTAACTATAAAAGAAGCCCCAGCAGAAACGAGAATTCAGGCATCAGATGTTTGGTCAGAAGTCATAAGAATTGAGTCTTAGATTTACGGTCTACCGCAACACAGTGCAAATTTCGGGGTTGTCCAACCTCAAGCACACCCATAACCGGTTTCGAGCCTATATGTTCTCGTCAGCTGGGAGCTTACTATAAATAATGCCAGAAATAATCAATCTGACCGTAACATATACAATATAAGCCTATTTGTAACTTTTAATGCGATTGAGCTATAAACTATCTTTGCTTGTACTGACTTTATCGTTGTGCGCAAACTATTTTACATCTTTAAAACTATACAGGCAAATGTTTATTTTACATATTATTTTTTTAGATTGGCCTATATTCAGCATTATGTGGTGGATTTATTTATGCGATTTTTGGCACAATTCCTGAACTCAATATTGCACCCACCGCTCTTCTATCATTGCTCACTTTTCAGTATGTTCATAATGTAACATTTGGAAACACCAGAGCAGCCATTATGCTCACCTTTTTTGCTGGAGTGGTAGAACTAATATGTGGCATTTTGCATTTGGGTAAGTTTCAAAACTTTCATTTGAATCATTTAATGAAACCCATACATTTATTTAACAAATAATTATAGGTAATATAATTAATTTAATTTTGTGTTTCCTTCAGTACGCAGGTTAGAATTTTTAGTTAGTTATCGGCCATAAAAATGTAGAATAATTTAAACTAGAAAATTGATCCATTATCAAATGATTTTGACGATATTTTGAAGTTATTTATCATATCAATATTTCTAAATTAGTTACCTTTTGGACTTACTACTGCTACTTAGCTGCTACTCCTTGCTTTACAAATTACGAGTACACTAATATGCGACAGAACTGTAGGTTTATTATATTGATTTGCCACTTAACATGATTACAACCAAGGAAAACGACGGGGGTGGGGAAAAACCACACATGTCCCATTTTTCTCAATATTGAACTTATCAGGCCAACTAATATACCAAAACTTTATGATCGGAATATGAAAAACCTGGACAAACAACCATGCTTGTTCCCAATGATTACTAGGGCAAGATTTGTCTTACTGGGGAAAAACAATTTGTGTGCGAGCGGAATGGTTAAGGTTGGAAAGAAGTATGGATGGTCGGTATTTAACGTAATCGCTAAATTAACACCCGTTTTTCAGGCACACGCCTGTAAGTGCCAGTTATACTTTGCCAATTCAACCGGTTGTTTTTAGAACTCATAAATTCTAAAAAGTGGTTTGCACCAGCGCAGAACCGATGTGACACCGTCGATCCATGTATCCAGCTCCATAAACATTGCCAATTTAAACGGTTTTTGGAACCGTCTCAAAAAACCGAGAAAGTGGTTTGGACCAACACAAAACCGATGCGATACTGTCGAGCAATTTATCCAGTTGCAGCAATTTCAGTAACCATCTGTCAACGGAAAATATTGTACTATGGATGGCCGGGTATCAAACTCTTTCTTCAGCTTCCAACTTTTATTCAACTCGGTATCACTTTAAATACGGAACAGGAACAAACTAACTTCTAAATTAACGTCAACTTCACAAACAATAACAATAACAAACGGAAAACTCGGACTTCCGACTCGCGGGGTTTAACCTCTTCTGAACTCGGTCGCTGCTGTCACTTCACTGACTCCCCATGGTTCTCGTCGCTGCTTATATAGTTTTCTCCAGGTAATCCAGACGGTTCTCGAAATCTCCAGACCAGGTGCGAAATTTCCCGCTTGTCAGTGTCATATTTGACAGTAAATGGGGCGCAAATGGGGCTCCCATTTACTGAAATACCATGAATTTCGATCCCCCATTCCAATCGTGAGTACTCCAGGCCATTTCCGTTACAATATGTTTAGTTGCGCGTTGCGTTGATGATTGTGTTTATGACTTTTCGTCTATAAGAATTACTGGTAAGTTATCCGGGAACCATAATTGAAGTTGCTTCAGCCACAACATTTTATTGAAGATTCGAATAGTGCGTCAAAAACTGGGAATAATTTATCTAAAACATTTTCTTCGATTTTGACAGGTGGCGCTGTAATCC